AAATACACAAGTAATTTTTTAACAAAACAAGATAAAGAATTTATTTACGAATTTTCACACTTGAAGTTATCAGTAGCTTGTTTCAGGAAAATAAACAAGAAATTTTTAAAGTCCGTAGTTTGAATAAATTATCATGAAGAGGAAATGTTCATACAACAGATTAAATGATCTGACACAAAATAATATTAAAAAAATGTTTAAACCAAAAGTAAGGGAGTTCGTTGCCCACAGAAGGGAGATATGGTTCCATATGTTCAAAAATAGACGAAGAGAGATAATTTGGAATACAGTGTAACCCGGATATAAGAGACCCGGATATAAGATAAACCCGGATATAAGAGAGATTTTCTCTGGTCCCAAATTAGAGCCCATACTTACCTAAACAAAATAGACCAAACCCGGATATAAGAGAAACCCAAATATAAGAGACTACTCCGGTCCCGACAACTCTCTTATATCCGGGTTACACTGTATTTAGCTTTCTTGGATTGTTGAAAGAAACTGCCGCGTGGTTGGTTAAAAGCCGATAATATAATTGGCAATTAATTATACACTCGCGAAAACTTCAACGCAAGGAACTGAAATTAAACTTTTCCCATTACTCCAGACTCTTCTCTTATTAATTTAATTTTTCTCCTCATTTTATACACAAAAAGAATTTCACATAGGCTCGCTACGTACTTTTCTTTCTTCTTCGGTCAATGGCTAATTTCTGTGAAGACAAGTTTTTCATTGGTCCAAAACAATTTCACATAGGCTCGCGAATTTATTTCCATCTTCTTCTCAGGTCACTGGTCAATCTCTGTGAAGGTAAGGATTTCATTGGTCCAAAGAAAATTTTACAGTCTTGTGAATTCCTTTTTGTCTTTTTCCTCAGTCCCTCGAATTTGAAGGGAGTGGGCAAAGGGAGTTATTTCACACTTACTACATGTACATCCACCGGACAAGAATAGAAATTTTTAGAGTTATTCTTAACAGTTTGAACAAGAATTTGTTAGCCTGATTCATGTTATTAGAATGTTGATTGAAATGCACACAATAAAAACAAGAAGATACATGACTGACAAGGCAGATTTTTTTCCCGCAGTGGGTTGCCGTTTTTTTTCTGCGGTAGACCAGCTGCCATCCTGCTATCTCCTGCTGGGGGAGAAGAAGAGGATTCATACCTTCCCGAAGGTATTAGCACGTAAGTGAATGTAATGTATTCGACTGGAATTCGAACTCGGCTCTTCGATTCCTCAATCCGAGCCACTATCCATTACTCCACCGTGCCTTCCCCTACATTATCAGGACACCTAAAAATCCCATAGAGAGCCGAAAGGATTACTACTATCAACAAGGTACATACATACACATTGACAAGGACTCTCCTCTCTCTCTCTCTCTCTCTCTCTCTATTAAAGGCTGAAGGACTTAGACATTCAATACGAGAACTTTCTGATATGAACTTATGAACTCTCTAAATATTGTATATTTTATTTTAAGAGATATAAAACATGCAAAATATATTTTTGTATTACAGTGGAACCTCGGTTCAAGAATTTAATTCTTTCTTGGAGGCCGTTCGTAACACGAAATTTTCGTAAACCGAAACTATTTTTCCAAGTGGAATCAAAGTAGAGAAAAAACTCACAGTACAATAAAACTGGAAAAGAAAAGCACGGCACAAGACATGAATGTATACAACACAGCGGTCGACTCAGAAATTATTCCGTTCGAGTTAACTCGGTTCGTGTTAACTCGGTTCGGGTTGTTCGAGAACCGAAATTTTGTTCGATAACCGAGGTATTTTCATATCGAATTTTCTGTTCGAAAACCGATTTGTTCGACATGTGAGACGTTCCAAAACTGACGTTTCTCTGTAATTATCTTTACATGCATTTTTAAAAGACCATAAATCGGTGTATATTTGGATTAAGGACGTTATCCGAAGATAACCACTTGTAAACCCACATACACAATGTACTTGGGCACACTGAAAACAAAGCGATTAATAACTAAAACTAGAAGTAGACGTTATATCCATAAATACGAGCAGTGGAATCAGGACAATCTACACCTGTAGATTAAATAAAGTGTTCCGTTTGAAATTCCCTGAAGGTTACCTGAATTGATAAAGGACCTGATGAATGTTGGGGTCGGGGGTGCTGAAGGGCTGAAACATTGAATTAACACCGAAAAAAAGTTAGAACAGTAACCCGTGTGTAAATAAAGTTGTAGCATTCTACTACCACTTCCTTATCAATGTATAATTTTGTACATTTTTGTGCAAAAAAATTGGACCAGATCCTTCTCAGCTTAGTAAATATTTTCAGGAAATATCAGCTTCTGTTTGGTCAATGCCAACCAATCAGATCGTCTGCACGTGAAGAATAACTCTTCCCGCGCAGCGATCTTGATCCTGTCACGTGATTACATTATCTATAAATAGCAAACACAAGCCAGCTGTTTCTCTCTTCTCTTTTTCTCTTCTTGCTGCAAGATGTAGTACCCAAGAATCCTCGTCTCGACCATGGATGTTCAGACGTTAAATAATATTTCACGCATTCACGTACTTACGAACTTTTCCAACCTTCTCACTCACACCACCACTCACATGCTGAGCATTCCTTATACTCTCACATAATCTTTCCTTACACAGCAAATCTTCTGAGAACAATTATTACAAGAAAGTCTCATAAAACTTTATGGCGATCTTCATCACACACACGTACAATTCAAATCTCTAACAGCATTCATTCATTTTTTAGGAAGCAACACTGCTATCTGAAGCGACGATTTTAAAATCGCTATATTTTCATATAGTAAATTTTGTGCACTTTTGGGAGAACCGACTTCCAGTAGTCTCCCCGAAACTCATACACTGATTGGTCAGTATCGACCAATCAGATTCTCTGCATGTGGAGAATGATTCTTCCCGCGTTGAGCGCCTGATTCAATGACCACCTATATAAGCATAAGAAAAGAGGAACCGCACTAGTGAGACTTTCACCTGTCACAGGAATGCACGACATTTGAAGCCCTGCGCCCATCTCCTCACTCAACCCACAAACTAGTGATAATTCAGCTGCCACAGAAATCCACGACAGTTGAAGCTCTGCGCCCATCTCCTCACTCAACCCACAAACTAGTGATAATTCAGCTGCCACAGAAATCCACGACAGTTAAAGCTCTGCGCCCATCTCCTCACTCAACCCACAAACTAGTGATAATTCAGCTGCCACAGAAATCCACGACAGTTGAAGCCCTGCGCCCATCTCCTCACTCAACCCACAAACTAGTGATAAATCAGCTGCCACAGAAATCCACGACAGTTGAAGCTATGCACCCATCTTCTCACTCAACTCTCAACCGCATATTCTATCACACCTACATAATATTCCTCTTGCACGGCGGAACTGTTTAAAACATTTATAACAGTCTAAAATCTTTCATTTTCTTTCAGAGACTTTTGATAGACTTTATAGTCAAAGAGAGGCAACTCTCGTCTTACTCTTTGCATGCTTTTTCGTATATATTCTTTATTGTATTTTTCGTTGAATACAATTTCATATATCTTGATACCTATGCCTTGTCCATTTCTTCGCATCAATTTTGGGTTCCTAAACAAATTAAACAAAATTAAATAAATGTGGTAAAAGGTCGCCACATTTTTTTTCCAATGAACTTTGCAATACAAAAATAATAGTTAAAGGGAGACAACTCTGATTTTATTCAACCTTTTCTTACTTTCTGCATACTTTTGTGGAATCTCCCACAACACAACCAGCCTTACCTCTTTGTAGGAAATGCACTCTTCCTATCTGGTAAGCCAAATTCTACTTTCAGACAATATAACAAGTATTCATTGGTCAATCACCTCCAATCTGGCTTGCTGATTGGTCAGTTCCGACCAATCAAACCGCCTGCACGCGACCAATCTGTTTTCCCGCTCATATGCTGGGAGCCACTCAGCTATTATAAAAACCGAACACGTGTGAACCTTTCGAGTAGTAGTTACCAAGTAGTTACCAAGTGCCAAGATGTAACCTTCAGCGACTCCCGTTTTAGTCATTGCTGACCAGACGTTAAAGATAATTACCAACATTCATGAACTCTGAAATCTATCCTGAACTTTTACCAACTTTGCAAACTCACAATTCAAAACTTTATTCTTCTAAATTACAAGTTCAACATTACAGTAAAAGGTAAATTACTTCTTAATATGAACTCTGGTAAAAATATTCCAAGTTAAAAGGGACACAACTCTGTCCTACCTTTTCAGTTCACATTAATGTAATCAACATTAATAAATCTATTGTTACGTTATAAAACAATTCAGTTGAATTTTGTATTTTATTTTGATGTTAGTGGAAATAGTTAATTGACACGCAACCTATTCTCAACAATTATTACCACATAATTAACCCATCCACTGCACTTTCTTTCACATCGTTGTTTGATATGTACATAAATACATATTTTATGTGTAATGATGTCTTTTGCTTATCCTTTTCCACGTCAGTTTTGTTTTCTCATCTAAAGTTAAATTAATGTGGTGAAAACCGCCACAAAGTAAATAATGATAAAACCTCCTGTCAAAAATTTAGACAGAAAGTGAAATGAAGATGAAAGCAAAACCAGTCAAAAATTAATCTTCATCTAAGAAAAATTCCAGATAATGACAAGTGTAAATAAAGCAATTAAAATGCAGATAAAAGAAATACTCGTCAAAAATTAATAATGGCTAACAATGCTTCATGTTAATCACTCAGTTATGTGCCATGCGTGATACATGCTTAGGCGATCATGTATCTTTCTTGCTGGAGGGAGGTAGAAGAGGGTTCATACCTTTCATGTTAATAGAAATTCTAAATACTGTCCAATAAAATTTATCGAAATCTTGTGGAGTGAAAGTAATCAAGGGAAATAACTCAAAGTGGACATTTTGTACAGTTATTTCCCTTAGATCACGAATTTCCTCATCGCTTACACTGAAATTCGGCTTATCGTCCTATCATGTGGAGACACCGGTTCTCGTACGATCACTGAAGTTAAGCAACGACAAGCCTGATCAGTAACTAGATGGGTGACAATTTTGGAATACAAGGTATTGTAAGCATGGTGTAATGGATAACGGCTCGTAATTGGAAATCGGAGAGACGAGTTCCAATTCCAGTCGGGTTCGTTGTATTTGCTTAGGCGCAAATATCCTTGGGAAAGGTATGAATGCACCTTCTCTCACTTTTTCTTCTTCACTTCTTCTTATGGGTTAATTAGTAGGACCTGTATCAGTAAATCATAATTATCTCCAAAAAATTCTTACAAGCTAAAACAATATTTTCTGGATTTAATTAACCTGCAAAAGGTTGATAAGACGTAAAAAACAGATCAAACAATCAATCTACTGAAATTCGTTTGCCATTGAAAATTTGCATAATCAAATCTGGTCAAAATGTGATGGGTAACTGCTTAAAAATATCATGTATTCTAAGGAACATCTGGCCTTGTGTTTAGTAAATGCCTATGAATTATTTAGTACACCTAATGTGAGTAGAAAGTTCTATCACGCAAATAACGAATTCGATTCTCACATGATGCTCCAATTCTATAGCCATGTGCCAGGCTTTACCCTTAGGGAATATATATAAATATGTTATTAGGGGGTGCTTGATGTCCAGGAGTGATTATTATAAAGCAGTGCTGAAAACATCCTGGCCCTGTAACACTTCCCGAAATTTGACCAAATGAACAAACAGAATTATTTGGGGAATTCTACACACCATTATTTTGTTTGGACCGTCGATCTGAGTTCTCTAGAGGAGGACAAGTATTGTTGTTTATTGAACTAAGTTTAGCATAAGGCCGCTAAAATAAAACCTCCAATGAGGATCGAACTCACGACATAGCAGTAATGGTCAAGCTGACTAGCTTGTTTACTCCACGATGAGGCGCATTTATAAAATATAGCAGCCATTCCCAGCTGATCGATCAGAAAAAAGCGTTCAATTAGAATGGAGCAAAAACAGCATCATATTTAGATGTAACAGAGTCTATCTTCTTCAATTACTTTAAAGTACTTTCATTAAAAAAAAAAAACATTTTGAATTAATGCAGTTACTGATATAACAGAAGTAGTCTGTATTTATTCAATCGAAGTTACCAGAGGACATGAAGGCGTAAAACAGGCAACATGAAGACCCACTTCAGACCACAATTATTTTGGAGGTTTTGAAATTCAATTTGTCAGTGTGCTACCAGGGATGTAAAAGAGGATACATTTATAAAGCAATTGTTAAATTTGATGAAAATTGGTTGAAAGATCAATGAAAAATAATAAGAAAAAAAATCACCATTTTTCGCTATTTAGGCGGGTTTTCACTATATGGGTGGACTCAATTATCAAGTTGAATGACTGTTAAACATTCAGTTTATTGCCGGCTACAATTGAGTTAAATTTGTATTAGATTGCTTGAAAATTAAGGGAGTTTTGTGTTAAAATAGATTTGTGTTGAAATCGATTTTTCGTTTTTTTGCGTTTTTTTTTTGCTAAATGCAGTGGCGTAGAAAAAAAAAAAAACAAAAAAACGAGGTATCGTTGAGCTCGTCATGATGTAAGTAACCTAGATACAAAGTTTGAACGAAATCGGAGGAAAAAAATTGAATTTATCAATTTTTGATCGGCTTTATCGATTTTTACTCTAAGAACTTATCTCTTACATTGTACAATGTATATGCCAAGTTTGGTCAAAATCGGTTCGATGGATCTCGAGTGAAAAAGTATCACACAGACACACGCATGCAGACATCCTCTGTTTTATATATAGAGAAATTAAGCGAAGAATATTTTTTGCACATCTTCACAGATATGGCGATCCCAATTAGATTTGAAGACATTACTCAGTCTTGGGTATGACGATAAATTACATCTGGCAACAAGGCTTCTGATCGGAAGATTGAAGCTTTTGAGTATTGTGGAACCACTTCTTAATTGCTGTTGTTCCCAGGTCAACCCAAACCCGGGGTAATAGCAGCTGTTAGGGTCCCAGCTATGGGCAAATAGTGAACCCCCCCTCAAAGCACTATGCAAGTATAAAAATATATTTTTATAGTAAAAATGCCAACAATATATATTTATATTAAAAAATACCAACAATACATATTTATAGTAAAATGATTCACAATACATTTTTAAAGCAAATTGACCAGCAATACCTTGTATCGTAGAATTACCAACAATACATTTTATCTGTTGTTGAAGGAAGACAATTGTGTTCAAAATATATTTAGTTGAAGCCATAAAATTATGTTCAAAATATTCGGCATTGAATAACCCACAGAGGTGTTGATATGCTGCTAAACGAAATTAAACAAACCACATGAATATTTCATGATATTAATTATAATATCCTGCAATTTCTTTAAAAAATCAAACCGTATTCCAACCAAACTGCATAATAAAACCCACATATCACTGTCTCCAGTAATTATATCTACACAAACATGTACAAAAGCTGAGTATCATCTACCATGTATTCAATTATGAAAACAGAATAACATATATTATATTTTTATTAGTTCAAAGCTCCCAAGAAAATTACATTACGGTATTAAATGACCCATAAGGTGTTGATATGCCGTTAAGCAAACCAATCAATCAACTACTCACTAGTAAAAACAAAGAATAATGAACTGCAAAATCGTTTCTATCCCCCTGAAGCAAAAGAGATATGGTTCTACAGAAGGATTATGTAGGGATATTATTATTGTTATTATTATTATAAATAAAGAAAAATAAAATATAAAATAATAATAATAACAATGGAAGTTATAAATAAAATAAAATAAAACAATATTTAAACGTTATTTAAAATAAATAAAATAATAAAAAAAAGATAATAAAAATACTCGCGGTATGCAATAAAACTGTTCCTGCCAGAAATACAGACATCCCACCAAAAGACGTTAAATTCAATCTCTTCAACCACGAACCTTATGGGCAACATGTGTCCAACTTCACTTTGTGATATGGTTTGTAATACTACGGAATAAATTCTCCCTTTTATCACATGTACCATAAAACAATTACTACCTAAAAATGCACACACCAATACACACAAAAAATATAAATAAATTGTATGAAAGTAACATACAAATTAGCATGCTTTTCCTGTTATTTCAGCATGTTTTATTTCCTGTTAAGTATGCTTTTATCTGCGTGATCACGACGCTAATTTCTGCTGCTATGATGTGAGAAAACCTCCACATTGCTGAGAATGTCATTGGCCATTAATATTCCCTAGCAGTCGCAGTAGAAAACGAGAAGCTTCGCCGATTGCAGTTAAGCGTGAGAAGCAGCACTTATCAGGAAGTTAGGTTTAAGGTTCCAAGTTCCAAATTTCTCACGAAGGAATGTCCCACAGAACAATAGCCTAGTGGATTAAAGCGTTGGTTCGTTTATTTCGTGACATCCCTGGGTTGGGCAGCGTTGGACTCGATGGGAACGAGTAGTAGTCAATTAAATGAACGGTTCAGTTCGAAATTCCTTGAAGGTTTTCAGGATCGAAAGGCACCTGATGAAGGCGGGTGGCCGCAATGGTTGAAACCATGTGATGATAACAATGAGGATAATAGTCCGCATGTAAATAATGTTAATAACGATAACCCCTCATCCCAGAAATTCAGACAGAAATTCTCCCAGGTCATCACATAACAGTTAACCCAAATCATAACAAGTTAGAATAACAATTGAATATGTAGTTTTAATATATAGACTATTTTATTGGCAAATTTAAAGAAACATTGTTTTTATCTCATCATTTTGTTTTGACATTCTCAAGCAGACCCGTCGAAATGTTTTTGTATATCGGCTCATAATCAGTGTGTATCTTGTGAATCACCTGAAATGATGCCAACATAGACTTTACACACAGTGTCCATAAGAGAAGCCAGGTGCATTAGCGCGTTGTGCCGAGAGACAGCCTCCTAGCTGTCAGTTGCTGATCAGCGATTTCACTAGGCGTCAGTATCTGACAGGTATAAGCAGCTATGAATAAAAACGAAATAACCAAAGACAATTCTCATTCATAGAAGTCCTAACGAGAAACATGTGCTATCATTATTAATAGGTTTATTCGGAGCTGAACTGGTAGATTACTACTTTTCCCAAAAGCATTTGCGCGTAAGTGAATAGAACGAACCCAACTGGAATTGGAAATTGCTTCCCGATTAACAATTTCGAGCCATTATCCATTACACTACCCGAACACCCAAACTTACAGCACCTGGTATTCCCAAGCGGCCACCCAAGAAGGTACTAACCAGTCTCGGCGTTGTTTAATTTCGGTGATCGTATGGGAACCAGTGTTTTAAGATAGCCGGAAGTATATATATATAAGGAGGCACGATGGAGTAATTGATAGCGGCTTGGACTGAGGAATCGGAGAGCAGAATTCGAATTCCAGTCGAATCCATTACTTACTAATACCCCTGGGAAAGGTGTGAATCCTCTTCTCCTCCTTCCAGCTATGGGTAAATAGCAGGACAGACTTGGTTCTATAGCCTTGGATGGCAACTTGTCTAAGAGAAGGACAACTCTGTGGCACGTAGTGCACCAAGTCTCTGTACTCGGCCCTTCAAAAAGTGTGGATGGTTCTGCACAAAACCTTCACCACTATAATCAAATCTCATGTGCTGGTGTCGGGCATAACCCTCAGACGTCGAATTCGACGGGAGAGCCGAATATATATATATATATAATATATATATATATATATATATATATATATATATATATATATATATATATATATATATATATATATATATATATATATATATATATATATATATATATATATATATATATATATATATATATATATATATATATATATATATATATATATATATATATATATATATATATATATATATATATATATATATATATATATATATATATATATATATATATATATATATATATATATATATATATATATATATATATATATATATATATATATATATATATATATATATATATATATATATATATATATATATATATATATATATATATATATATATATATATAAAATATATATATATATATATATATATATATATATATATATATATATATATATATATATATATATATATATATATATATATATATATATATATATATATATATATATATATATATATATATAAAGTGTATATATATATATATATATATATATATATATATATATAAAAGTGTATATATATATATATATATATATATATATATATATATATATATATATATATATATATATATAAAGTATATATATATATATATATATATATATATATATATATATATAAATATATATAAAGTGTATATATATATATATATATATATATATATATATATATATATATAAATATATATATATATATATATATATATATATATATATATATATATAGAACATATATATATATATATATATATATATATATATATAAATATATGTATATATATATATATATATATGTATAAAGTGTGATATAAACCAAATAATTAAATATTATAAAGTAATTATATATATATGCGCTCGTTAGCGTGCATACACAGATAAGCGAATAAATATTTACTTGATTTAATGTAAGGTATAAACAAAACAGTGCTCAATGTAGTTAGACAGAGCTAAGAAGTATATATTAATAAATATACATATACCTACGCTTGTAGTGCAACTTAAAGTTTCATGATTTTTCCAAGTCGTCAGGCACGAATTGGTGAATTAAAAGGTTATTGCAGTACATACATACATACATTACATACATACATACATTACATACATACATACATACATACATACATTACATACTTTTTCAATTGTCTTTTTTTTTTTTTTTTTTTTTAATCAATTTGTCTTAACTAAAACAAATTCTTAGTAAAAGAAAAAGTTACCCATATCCAGAAGGAGGCTTTCACTGGAGCGTCCCCTTTTTAATATTTTGAATTTGATGTAACTACAAAACATTTCGCTTTTAAACTTGCTTTGATAAAGTCGGATTGACGAAACATGTCAGCAATGACCAAGAAATATTTTCCCATTGTCTTTTATATATATATATATATGCATGCAACCTTTTATCAATTGTAGATAACTTGAATAAAAACATTTCACTTTGTTCGTTATCTGACAAAAATGACAGCCATTTTTTTTCTCAATGGATTTATTCAATGTCGTCTTCAGATTAAGATTCGCTGATAAAATAATGAAACCAGCACGAAAAAAAATTAAAAAAAAAATCGATTAAGTGTTGAAATATATGTTGGTAGATTGTTGAATGAGAGACAGGCAATACAGTGGAGAAGAAAAACAAGTTAGGGAGGAGTTTCCTCCTCAATAGGAAAAAAATACAGAACACATACGGAGGACAAAATGTTGGAGGCACAAATTTAAATAAATCATAATAAATTTGCATAATTTCAACTTTTTGATTTTCCATTTAATGCTTTCAGGCAACTTTTATAAGGTTTGAAAAACTAATTTAAGTAACGCACTAATCTATTTACTACTTTCGATAAATTATAGACACATGTTGAAACACCAGTTCTCATCCGATCATCGAAGTTAAGCAACGTTGTACCTGGTCACTACCTGGATGGGCGACTGTTCAGGAATATCAGGTGTTGTAATGGATAACAGCTAAGAATGAGAAATCGGAGAACCGAGTTCAAATTCCAGTCAGGTTCGTTATATTCACTTATGTGCGAATATTCTTGGGAAAGGTATGAATACACCTCTTCTCCTCCCAGCTATGGGTTAATTAGTAAGACTTTTATCGGAACATTATTATTATCTTCAAATAAATCTTACAATCCAAAAATATGTTTCCGCTTTAAATAATCTTAAAATGGTTGATAAGCCATAAAAAAAAACAAATCAATAAATTACGAAACAAGTAGCGAAGTAATCATTCTAAGTGACGCAGTTCATCGAAATACGTGCTGCGTAACTTTTTTTTTTTTACATTATTTCAATTGTATTTGTTTAATGAAATGTAATATTCAATACGAATAAAATTATTGCCAAAAATGTGATTCTAAGACAGTAATTGTCTTTTAGAGATATATACTAAGTAGAGTTTTGACTGGCACAAGGCCAGAAGAAGGCAGTTATTATGAAGCGTAAACTAAATATATAGATGAACAGATTCTCGAGACAAGTTTGTTAATCTACTAGAATATATTGTCTTTAAACCGTTATGCGTATGCAGACACACCCATACGCCCAAGGGTGCATACAAAAGTACATAGATATACACTAACACACCTTATAGACACACACATGCACAAATTTTAGGCACAAACGTCACACACAGGCAAATTAACTCATCAAAACATACCTGTAAGAGAGATCTAAGAACCAATAAAATCTTAAGTACCTGCACATATGCACATTCACAGTCCTCTCATATACACGTATACCTGAGCGCACACTCAGGTATACAGCAATGCAGATTCATATATATATATATATATATATATATATATATATATATATGAATTATTCATACAAAACTAATGCAAAGGTTAATGATTTTAAAATCATTAACCTTTGCATTAGTTTTGTATGAATAATTCATGTATTTGTAAATTGATTGCACGTTTATTGTAATTTAAATATCTGATCCATGTGCGACTTTTGGTTAATAAGTGCGACATTACTGTAATTATTGAACAATATAGTTCATGCCACTTTGACAGTAAAATTTACCAGTAAAATAATTTGTTCATTACCATATTTGGTATAAACGCATACATTTTAAAAAAAGAAAAAATTCAAAATCAAACTTAGCGTCGCTTTGTGCGCGTTCAAAAACCAATATCTCATTTTCAATAGCATTTCGGATACAATACACATATATTTTCGATGTCCTCTTATTACTAAGAGAAAAAAACAAGAACAACATCTATTATATACCTGAAGATGTCTGTAGGAACAGACGAAAGCTTGTGTAAAAATAACAACTAATACGGCAGAAATTTATATGAACAAGGATCAATTCATTCATAACGGATCTGAGGTTTTTGTGTAATATTTGAATTGTTTGCGAGATGGATGTCTCGCCATTTAAAATCATTAACCTTTTGCATTAGTTTTGTATGAATAATTCATGTATTTGTAAATTGATTGCACGTTTATTGTAATATATATATATATATATATATATATATATATATATATATATATATAAATCGGGCATTTTGTAATATATGCCAGATAAGGTATTTTTGTTCTGCTTGGTTGACGCTGCGAATTGTCGTCAGCCGGAAGACAATCGAAAAACGAAAATGTCTGATCATTACTTCATTGTCGATGATTGATCTACTTCGTTTCTCTGTCGATCAGAATAAACATGTAATTAGTTTTTGTCCTGAAGGCTTTTGCGTGACTTGCAGCTCAAAAGGAAAAACAAAAACGGCTGGATAGGGTTGGGTTGGTGTGTTTTTCGTGTTTCGAATCGAAAATCGATACGGTGGTCACTCGACTATTCATCGCTTTCGGCTCCTCGCCAATTCGATTGCGACAAACTGGCCAGCGGTCAATTCCCTTCAGTCAGCATCACGAGAGACATTTTTCTCAACTTTCTCAGAAGCCGAGCTTCAGTGCCAAAAGCGACAGAGAACTTAAGAATAAAAGAAAAAAAAAGGACACATGGCACAGTGGATAAAGGCGTTAGTTAGATCCAGTGACAGGACCCAAATAGTGTGAGTTCAATACTCAGTTAAGGCAGTGGAGAACTTTCAGAGGGAAATTAACAGGAGATAATTGATAAGTAACATCCATTAAACATTGCATGTGGAACTAGAACAGTCTACCCCAGTGAGCGAAATAAAGGGTTCAGTTCGACATTCCAACCACCTGAAGAAGGCCGGAGCGTACAATGGCCGAAACGTTGTAATAAATATGGTCACAAAGATGAGGACAATAGTCCGAATAATGTAAAGACAATTGGAAAATATTTTTTGGTCATTGTCGACGTGTTTCGTCAATCCGACTTTATCAAGGCAAGTTTAAAAGCGAAATGTTTTGTAGTTACATCAAATTCAAAATATTAAAAAGGGGACGCTCCAGTGTAAGCCTCCTTCTGGATGTGGGTAACTTTTTTTCTTTTTTTTTTAACTAAGAATTTGTTTTAGTTTTTCATGTCGACATATTGTTCAATTTCTCAGTATAATTCTGAAGATAAGAAATTGATTAAAAAAGACAATTGGAATATATATATATATAAGAACTGCAATAACCTTTTAATTCACCAATTCGTGCCTGACGACTTGGAAAAACCATGGAACTTGATGTTGCACTACAAACGTAGGTATATGCATATTTATTAATATATACTTCAATTCCAATTCAGTTCGAAACTTGAGTTCTTCAAATCAAACTCTGCAGTTCAAAACCTCACATCGCGAAACCTCTCACTGATTCCTTGACATTTTGAAGAAATAAAATTGATTTCCTCAATTGACAAAGTTTGTGAGGTATTTTAAACTAAATTTAAAACAACATTTAAATTCACAAAGCATTTGTGTTACTTTAAACTCAATATAAATTAAAATCTTTAAAAAAAAAAATCACTAATTTTTTTCAGTTATTTTAAAATTTGAATTTTTAACTGTTCCCTCCTCATCCGGACACAAATCCAATTGCTAGATGTTCAAGCACCAAATGAAGGACAAATATTCAATCCCGGGATCATCCTGATTCCAAAAAGGTATAAAATGTCTATGTAGAGCAACTGTACCCCGAGTTAGAGTGTGTGTGTGTGTGTGGGGGGTCAGACTCACAGGCAGATAGAATTTACCGTTTATTTATTTACGTAAAAAAAAACAAAAAAACAAACCAAATAAGAAGTTCCTCGGTACCTCGACCGGATGAATTTAAGCGTACGACCGGGTTGGTAATTAGGTCTCTTCGTTTTAGTGTTGAATTATCGAGATGTAATCGTAACTTCTATCCTAACAGTTTCTTTTCCAGGCCTGTGGAGCTCTCTTCTGGTTTCTTGCTTCACAGATACCTACGATTTTCAAAATTTTAAATGGAATTGCAGTCGTCATTTTCTGTCTTCCCGAATCTTGTTATTCATTGCCCTTTCTCCCCACTAATGTTTTCTCATTCTCTTTCACACACAGTAACCACCCTGCGTCTTAGTGGTATTATCGTCTTGCGTGGGGTGAAATGATAAAAAACAAAAACAAAATGAATACCATTTTGTGACGCAATCTATCTATTTAGTGGTCATGTGCCAAACGAAAGTTTATATATATATATATATATATATATATATATATATATATATATATATATAGGGTGGCGATAACGTCACTATACAGTTACTACTTATAATAAAAAGCAAAGCATTGAAACAGATGGCTTGCAGTTGGAACAGTATCGCTAATTAATTTACTATGGAATTTTATTGTTATTAACCAGAACCATTTTAATAAGAAATTTATGGATTGTTGCTTTGTCTTAATTGTTATTGTAAGTAATTGTACAGTGACTTTATTGACACTATATATCTCCGGGCTATCGACGTTGGAGATATATATATATATATATAGTCGTGAAAATACGAATGTGCCATTTACACCTGAACGATCTATTCACCCGACTTGTCTCACAAACAGACCTGAGCGATCTGATTCGCTCCTGTTCTTTGTTTAACTATTGTGCCATAACCAGATAAAAACGCAAGGCAGCAATGTAAACACATATCTTCTCATACACACCAATTAAGTGATCAAAGAAATAAACCCTCAACATAAACAAATTAATAATAATTGGTCGTTCTTACCTCAAGATAAAGTCTCCAAATATCAAAAAGGCTTTCCTTCTATCGAAAGGACACACACGTAGCTTTTCTGGCTTCTAAACAGTGATCGCCATCTTGTTTCCTAGACAAAACCAATATGGCTTCCGCTTCGTCATCTAAAGTGCCGTAGGTGATACACCTGTAGACGAATGGTCTGAAATCAGGGAGATCCACTTGTGTTTGTTCGAACCATTATGCTAAGCCGGGAGAGTCCATTATTTTTTGCCGTGGCTCGAAGTAGAATGTGTAGTAGTACCTTTCTTCGAGACGAAAATCGAGGTGGGTTTGTTTTTGGAGTTAACTTCTCCTGACGAGGCAGCAACTACAGGTGGTTTGAATTCAGAGTTTTCTTTCTCCTAGACTGGTTGCCAACCAAGATTATAGGACCATAGCTGGGAGAGGGAAGAGATGGATTCATACCTTTCCCAAGGGTATTAGCACATAAGTGAATGCAATGAACCCGGCTGGAATTCGAACTCGGCTCTCCGATTCCTCAATCCATTACTCTACCCTGTCTCCTGACTTCCGTTGATTGAGACAAAAACATTTTCGCTAACGAATGTATTGATTTTCTAAGCTTAGCTTAGATGTGGCACAAGGCCGAAAGTAGGGGGTCACCCAGTGAGGATCGAACTCACTATTCAGTAGTAACTGTTTTAGCGAGACTAGCTTGCTAAACATGACACCACACCGAGGTGACCTTTATAATTTTCTAAGCGTAGCTTAGATGTGGTACAAGGCCGAATGTCTGGGGCACCCTGTGAGGATCGAACTCATTACTCAGTCGTAATTGTCCTTTTTTTTTCGAAGCGTAGC